CGATTCGTTTCGGTTCGGTGCGGTGCGGTTCGCTCTCGCTCTCGCTCTCTCTCTCTCTATCTCGCTCTCCATTGTTTTTTTTGTGGTTCTGCTCCTGTTTTTTTTTTTCTTTTTTTTTTTTGGGTTCGTTCCTTTTTTGCGGTCTCGTGGTCTTTCATCGATTTACGCAGGAATTCGCTGAATTTACGTTTGCTCAATGTCAAATTGGCGTTCGACTCTGGTATGCGATACACAAAACTACAGCTCTAGAGTATAAGAGATTCCTTGCCGTTTTCCTCGACTAACCGAAGTGAGAATGTGCTACAAACAAAATCTTTAGATTGGAAAAACATACAGGGAAATTTAGTTAAATAGTTGTCCAGAAAAAAAGAAAAATATCTATATAAAAGATTATCATGGAAGAAGGGAAAGCTGCAGCAGAATATTTAAGTTGGAAAATTTATTTATAAAATAAAAAATATATATAAATCATTATTAAAAAAATTATTTAAAAAAATTAATAATAATAAAAATTATAATAATATAAATTTTTTCATACAAAATTAAAAAAAAAAAAAATCGTAATAAAATTGTAGACCTGAGAATAAAAAAAAATAAAAAAATATATATTAAAAATAAATAAAATATTTTTAACAAGAATCAATATGCCCCAAGTTAGAGTAATTCAAACAAATGCAACTGGCATTATCGTGCGACTCGAATGGCAACTAACAAATGCCAACGACTGTTATCGATAACATTTTGTTATCGTTGCACATTGCTACAAGTCTTTTCCCGCTCGCTTTTCTTTCGTTTGGCTACCCTTTATTGTAGCTGCGTCTCGCTCGCACTCGGCCGAATTCCTGCGTTTGCGTCTGTTTCACTTTTTGTTACCCAAAATAAATACAAGAATTTAGCGACTTGTTTAAAAATAAACTGGAATGCTTTTTTTCTGTTATTTTTAATGTTATTTGCCTTTTTTATTTTTTTTGGGAATTAGCTGAAAACGCCTATGGCCAAAGAGTTTTTGTTGTTTGGCAGGGCGAAATATGGTATTTCCGGTCAAGACGTGCGATTGTGTTTTGGCCATACAAATGCAAATCGCTTTTGACACACTGTGCAGCTGAGAGCAGCACTTGTCAGCACTTTTTCAGCTTCTTCGTCTGCTTCTCCATTTCGCCTTGGACGAAAGGGGCTTATACACTTATTAATTATGGGTCTGAGCGAGTTTTTATGATCGCGCATAAATTGCAACTGAACGTTGATCCCAGACCCAGAACCAGAAGCAGAAGCAGGAGTCCGTGACGTGATAAAAAAAAAAAAAAACAACAACAACAGCCAGACAGAGAAAGATTCCGCAGCGGGCGCAAATGAAGAGGCAATCAAATAAATTGCAAAAACAACAAACACAAAAAGGAGATCAACACAAAAATATATCGTGAAGAAACAGTAGCCGCGCGAACTGAGCAGGGGCAGCAGGGGACGGAGGGCGGGCGGACGGCACACACACAGGAGACAATAACATTTGTGGCCGCTGATTATAATGATGATGCTGATGATGATGAGTCTGAGTGCTGATGTTTCATAGCACTGGAATTTCAATAAGAAAACAAAAACTGAAGAAAAACAGAAAAACACCAAAGCTGAAATACTCTATGCTATAGACTTGGGTTTGATAAATCTATATTAAATTATAATATGAGCTCTGTCAAGTAAAGGAAAACCAAAGATATGGGAACAATATATCTACATAAATTTATATAAATATTTATGTTTAGCTAGTGAAGTTGCAAAGTTTGTTCAACTGTTAAGAGTTAAGGAAATATCATAGCTGATAGCCTGATCAAGAATATATGCATATATACCTATAAAATCTTCCATTCAGTCAACGTTATCTACCCTTTGGCTGTCCATTAAAAAACTACTTAAGTCTGCTCATAAAATTGTGACTTGAGTATGGAAATGAAATTGCCTTTTTTTTTGTTGTAAGGCGCGACTTTTGGCTTTGTTTGGCTGTCGATCAATTTCGACATGCCCCAACCCGCCCTGGCCGCAGTTCAACTGTTTGTTTCTGCATCAATCTGTGTCTGCGACGTCATATCAAAGTGAAATGCCAGCGATCTCTGGGCACATATTAAACGAAGCAGCCAACTAGTCAAAATGTCTATCCAACTGTCTTCCAGTCTGCTTGCTCCACTGTCTGTCTGTCTGTGACTCCAATGACAATTAGTGAGCCAAACAGCAGCTAAGGTCTGTAAAGAGCTGCACTGAGAGTTGTTGTCTCTATATCGAAATCGTGCATCATGAATATAAAATGCCACGCAAAAGTCATTCCACCTTTTATTTTTCTGCTTACCCTCCTTTACCCAGGCAGAGGGACAGACAGACAGACAGCAAAACAGCAACTATGCCATTAATTTAGCTACTTTAATTTTAGCCTATTTTTGTTGTCGCTTGTAATCTTTCGTCATATAACAGCAGCAGCAGCAGCAACAACAACGACAACAACAATGCAACAGTCATTGCAGGCAGAGTGGATAGACATAGGCAAGAAGCCTAAGCATAAGCCATCAGTGCAGTGGGGGACAATGCCGTTGTCTATGTGGCTCTTGTTGTTTCTTTTATATATTTAGCAAACAAGTAAGAATGCTGCGGCAAGCGGCAATGAACAGCCGCATAATACCCGACCAAACATAATACTCTCAGTCAATAATAGTTAGAATTTAGAGTATATAAATCCAGTCAACTATCGAAATCCCAGCCCGATTCTAGATAATGTGAGCACTTGCCAAACCTATATACCCGCTTTTCGCTATACGAACGAGTATATGAATATGCACGACAACGTGCATGATAATAAAAGTGAAGTCTACGCGAAGTGCAACATAAATTTGTGCAAAATATTGCGCATACGCACCGTTTGCCGTGCGCTTGGCAAAGAGTGCCAACATAGACACACACACACACACACACACACACATGTTGCGTTATTTATGCCCGCGTCTGTGGCTGATCAACAGCCACATACCCTTTGCTTAGACTCGCTCCCAACCCCCCTACATCCCTCTCCATCTCTCTCTCTCTCTCTTTCTCTAAGTGCCCTGCTTTGGGCAAAGTTCTGGGCGGGAGATGTTGGGAAATCATGTTGCGACAGAAACATTGTAATAGGGACAGACGACAACAACGAAGACGAAAACAAAAACAAAGGAAGCCGGCGAAAGACAAAATAATACAACAACAACAACAGCAACAACTGAAAAGTGGGCGACCACACAGCAGCGTGCACTGTGAGAAAATTATTGGGCAAATATTACATG